ATCCAGATGGCAGGAACAGGTAGCCCAGATATTCAATCATTCTGCCTTCAACGTGAGGTTTGTGCTGATGATGTTGTTCGGAAGAACGATGAAAGCTCTACGATCAAGCTTTCCAGATCTGAGGACAAAAAGCTAATTCCTGCATTGTTCAGTTCGGTCTCATTTTATAGTCCTTGTATAGTCATTATCAAAACGGAAAACAATATTGGTTTAATTACGTTTGTAAACTTTTGACTCCGTAATATCTTAACAGTGCTAATATCCACTCACTCCTGAAGTTTTCTAACTGTCTTAAACTAATACCATTGCTTTTCTTGATCGTTGATTCACTTTATCATTTTACACATGTTTCGAGTTGTGAATATAACTGCATACTAGACGGCTATGTTTAGCTGTATTTTTTGCACAATAACTGTGGTTTAGATGATAAAATTTGAATTAAGGTTTCACTGAAGTTAAAAGGTGGGTTCTATCTAAGATACTTTGCTCCTTTTTTGTATAATCACGGATTATAAATTTGAAGATATCATGTTTGCCAACAGACCTTCACAATCTTCATGTTAGGTAGTATGTTACTTACCGTGAACTTTTAAGACCATTACTTTGGCCTCTAAAATTATGATATCTGTGACATCCCGAAGAGGATAATGAAAAGGAACCGTTGAGATTTATTTATGGACCAATAGTAACTTAAGTTACTAAACTATATTTATTGATTAGCCTATTCTTATAAGCTTTATTTTGACCTGTAGAATATTATTATACGATTGACTATTCTTACGTTATGCCCAGTTTATTAATTATCGTCTCCCACAATCACAACAACTATCTAGCTTGATCTCGTACAAATTTTATTTTCCATTTATGGTGTGATGTGGTATGTTTGGCTTGTATATAAACCAAGAATGTTTGACATATATCCACCAACGACGGAAGAAATCAGAATGACCATCAGACAAATCAAAAGCGAGAAAGCGGGAGGACCCAACAATATACCAGCTGAAGCACTGAAGTCAGACATCGAAGTAACTACAAACATGTTTAACCTTCTATTCAAAAAGATCTGGGAGGAGGAACAAGTGCCAATGGACTGAAAAGAAGGACACCTCATCAAGATTCCAAAGAAAGAATATATGAGAAAATGTGAAAACTACAGAGGAATCACACTACTGTCAGTACCAGGAAAAGCCTTTAACAGAGTGTTGCTGAACCTGATGAATGATGCAGTAGACGCCCAACTTCAAAATCAACAAGCGGGATTCCGCAATGAGTGGTCGTGCACAGACCGAATTACGACACCACGGATCATTGTCGAACAACCAATTGAGTGGAACCCGTCACCGTACATCAACTTTATTGATTATGAAAAGGCATTTGACAGTGTTGATAGGAAAACGTTATGGAAACTTCTTTAACACTACGGAGTTCCTGAGAAGATTGTCAACATTTTCGGGAACTCATACGACGGACTACAGTGCAAGGTCGTGCATGGAGGACAGCTGACAGATGCATTCCAAGTAAGGACCGGAGTCAGACAAGGCTGTTTACTCTCCACCTTCCTCATTATTCTGGTTATCCACTGGATTATGAGGACCTCGACATCTGAGGGAAAACGCGGAATACAATGGACAGCTCAGAATTAATTGGACGATTTGTCCTACGCAGATGGCAACTCGAACTGATGTACGTACGTACGAAGTTCTACGTTGTTACTGACTGACTGATGCAGATGACCTAGCTCTCCTATAGCATACACATGAACAAATGCAGATAAAGACAGCCACTGTAGCGGAAGTCTATGCATCACTGGGCCTCAACATACACAAGGGGAAAACCAAGGTCCTCAAACACAACACGGAGAACAGCAATCCAAACACCATTGATGGCGAAACTATGGAAGATGTAGAATCCTTCACATACCCGTGAAGTATCATCGATGAAAAAGGAGGATAAGATGCATACATACTGAAATTTTCAGTGTGTCTTTTAGATATTTATCTAGAACGTTTAGGATAGATAGTGATTAGAAGTAGAATCCAAGACGCACGTTTAGTCCTATTTCGGACTTGTCAGCTGGATATACCTTTATCTTAGAAATGATGTTCATTCTTGAACTAGAATCTAGTACCGTTCGTTTCAAACGTCATTGCGTTATCCACTTATCCACTGAGTCTAAAGAACACATTACATCTGGAAATAGAAGCAGATAAGAAAAGGATGAATAACAACTGGAAAGAGCTGGAAACGATTGTCAAGGACAGGGTTGGACGGAGAATGCTGGTGAGCGACCTATGCTCCTTCATGAAGAGTAACAAGCGTAAGTAAGTAGATAAGTAAGTAATGTTTGAAATGTACGAGTCATGTCGTCAAGGCTGAGATTGATGTTCTAGACTTAACAACCGGGGTTAGACGGGAAAATGATCAGTCGGGTATCTAGGCCGTTCGTTCAGGTGTATGCGTCGGTTTTTGGTCGTATAGATACCCGTATATAAATTTGGCAATCATAATTTCGCGGTAATCGTGTAAGCTAAGGACGTAACAGTATCTACTAGAACAAAAGTGAGTTTTCAGTTAAAACGGCTGAGATAAGGGTAACCTCATTTCAAAACTGTTACATTGTAAAGGCAATTTTCGAATTAATTTCTGTTGAAATGTAATCGAGGTTCTACTAATAAGAATATTAATAAGCTATATGAATTGGATTAGTGGCATAAAATCTCAATTTTAAAGTTTAGTCAGTTTGTGAGATGTTAACTTTACAGAGTACTAATTGCATTGGATATTTTTGGATAGCTGACCCTTAAAAAATCACCACGTTAAAGATGAATAACGTAAACACTTTTTCACTTTTCAACAAGGTCAGTTTTTTGAAAGTTACTTTTGCGGATCACTTAAAATGGGTAGGTGCTAATTGCAATGTAAAAGTATGTTTCAATTATTATCAGGTGTGGTTAAAGATGTATACAAGGAGATTTACTCAGCTTATTTATAGTAACTTTGATCATAATCACATGAAATCATCAAATGTTTTGACATCATATAGTTTCATAGTTTTATTGTTTCAAAATAACGGTAAAGGCAATTTTATTTACTGAAAGTGTTCTTTCAATAATGATATGCAAACATGATAATGTATATTAACAGATATTAAAATGTTCTACTTAATTTCAAACACAAACTGTGTCTACTAAATAATTTGTCAGTAGGCAGAAACTTTTTCTGCAAAACTATGAATTAATCAAAAGACATCCAACAATTTTGATGATCACAACATTAAACTAACCTGAAATTTAAAGAATCTTATTTTACGAATTTTTCCTGGGTGGGTTCATTCATTATCAATTAGTCTGGCATAAACGCTATACTATAGAAGTCAATAGCTGTGTATACGGAAAACATCACATCTCCGAATTCATAACTGTTTTTACAAAAGGAGAATGGATTTTAATCAAGAATAATAATTATTTGAGTTGCTTGTAATATACTTTATACTTTGGAAATTCTATTGCAGAGATTCCTTAAGTTAAATTGCATATAAACAGTGAAACTACAGAGTAGTAAAATACGCTTAACGATATCATGTTGTTTACTTAAGTTTGTATACCAATGCCATCTTTACAAAATGACCCGGCAATCAAACTATTAATTCTGTTTTTGGTTGAAATCATGAGTCAATTGAAGTTCGACCATCATGGATAACCTGGAAACACTGGATGGGTAGAAACAGGTGTCTACCTCAGTACAATGGAAGATGGTCACGCGATTTCGTAGATTGGTTGAGGTTAGACATTAACACCATTGGATGCCGGCTCAGTGGTCTAGTTGGTTAAGCGCGAGACTGATAGGTCCTGGGTTACAATATCGCAGGTGGGGGTGGTCGTGGATGCGCACCGCTGAGGATTCCCACAATAGGGCGAAACAACCGTCCAATGCTTCCAGGTTTTCCATGGTGGTCTAGCTTCAATTGACTCATGATTTCAATCAAAAACGTAACAATCTCCACAACCTTTAAACTAATATTAATTCTGTATAAAACAGTATGTTCAATAACCTAATCAGAGGTCGATAAACACCTCATACATCTTACCTTCAACTATATTTATAAATTTACATATACCTGTTAAGTCAGTTACCCTGGTCGAACAGAAAGCAGGCCATATCTTAGATTTTTTTAAGCATTTTCCCTAATGACTTAGAACAAGAGAAGGAACGACTTTGAGTAATGCAATTATCAAACATCTCTTGGATACAGGATATCAGATCGATGCCTTGCAATCTTTCAAGGTGATTATAAGACACACAAGCCCCATTCCTATCAGGTTTCAAAAATTTGATTTATGTGTTCAAATATAGATAGTTAATAATCTTTTCTTGCTTTGATGATAAATATTCATCATGAAAAAAAATTTCCTCATCGTTTCCTTTCATTTGCCTAGATCATTACGTCTTTTAAATTCGACTATGTTTTCTATTAGTAATCTTATTTTATTAATTGAGCTTTATTCATTTAATTGTTATCAACGTTTATTCAGTTTGTAATCACTTGTTTCCGGCCGTTTGAACTGATGTTACAAACAATAATGTAGAATATTCTTTTACATAAGGTATATATTTACAATACTCAATTTATTAATTTTATTCACACCCTTACTATACGATACTAATATGTCTTCAACATAACTTTCAACTAAACTCTTTCATGTAAGTCATTTAAACTCATTATGTAATTACACTTTTAAATATCACAGGATGTAAGCAGCTGATGAGAACCAAATGAAATGAAATGAAATGAATGCATACTATTTTGTTAGAACCATTATTCTTTCTCTAATCAAAATAACATAAGTCAGACATAATATAATATGTATTTTCAATCAATTTATAAAATAGAATGAATTACAAATATACAACGAAATCAATAAACAACATGTGACAGGAATTATAAAGTACAAGGCCTTAGTAACATGAAAATTCTCAAAGTAAAATGATTTTTAAAAAGGCTACAAATGAAGTACATTAAATCCGAATATGAATTAGTTTTTTTATTTTATTTAAAAATTGATTCAATTATATCGAAATAATAAAATAAATGTATCCTTTGCACGTAATAGAATGTAACGTGATAATTCAAATTCTAATGAACTGTAAAAATGTATAATTTTATTATGAAATGAACTTACCAATCGAAATGTTTACCAACAATACATTGCCAATATTCTTGATAATATGAATCAAATTTAAGTTTTATATAAGTAGCAATTTCTCTTTCTTCTTCTTCATATCGTTTCATAGCTTTTTGTACAAGCATTTTTATATAAGATTGCATTTCATTTTGTATATTACATTTTATTATTAATATATCCGATTGTTTTATTCCGACCATTATAGAAGATTAAACATAAAAAAAATAAGTCATATATGATTTTATATATGTACTTATTAAGTCAAATAGAAATTTATTAGACCTTATATTATTGACTAATTTAAAACTATGTGTAGCTGAGAAAAGACGCTATTGATTAATTATCCATCTTTGACTATACATTGAAGTAATTCTTTACGTTTTAAATGATCTATAAAAGGTCATCTATGTCTTTTTCTTTCGGTTAAAATTTCATTGTGTTCAACTATATTCTTAAAGTTTTGAAAATTCATGATGTATTGATCTTGAAATATACGATTTAGAATTTTATATATAATGATATTATGTTCGCTTCATTTTATACTCCTGTAAATAGCAGCCTATTCTTAATAATAGTTTTAATAATTATATTATGTCTTGAATGGGCTCGGACCCAGGACTTTAGGTCTCGTAGGCAAGACCGTGTCTGCCTCTGAACTACTGAGATGGTATATAACGGTATTAATACTTAACTTCAACCAATCCACGATATTGCGCGGCCGTCCACCATTGTCTTCAGTAAATAACTGCCTATACAACAGACCCGGTAGAACTCCATTTGTTACTGCTTATCACTAGAATTCCATGAAATACCTCTTTCAGCCAGTCACTAGTAAGCATATGATGGTTATTATCATTTTGTTTGAATCGAGTTATAAAACTTATCATTTATCAGCATATAATAACATGATAAATAATAGATTTGGTAATTGTATTTATTTTATTTTAAATATATAGTTAGAATATCTTCAAAGATCACTTTATCTTAGTATTATGCTAATGTTTTCTTTATTGTATTCGCGTTCATACTGTAGATACTACACAATTGAAATATACTTTGTTGTTCATAGTGCAAAGTGGGAACACAAAAGATTAGCACAACTAATATTTATTTATTGATTTACCAATGATATAATCTTCATATAAGATCATATACACAATGATAAAATCTGAGATCAATATTATAATTATGTAAAAATAATGATTGTTTTTTTTTCTAAATCAATTAGTTGACGTTGGTGGATTCATCATTTACCATTTATCATTCAATATAATTATATAAAACATTTTAATGTGAATCATATTTGTTTATTAACAAGTGCATTCCTTAATGAATTGCTAAACTACAAATTGAAAATTATCACAAAATGTTTAAATATAAAATATGTCATATTATTGAGTAAATTTTACCGGTTGTGCAAAATTATTGATTTAAGGAGATGAACTCTTAATGAATAAAAACAAAACTATCAAACTTCATATGTATTTTTTTTAAAAAGATGTATTATCATCAAATATGTTGTATAAGTAATTATGAATTTCAATGGTTACGATCATGAGTCAGTTGAAGCTAGAACACTATCGGAAAACCTGGAAGCACTGGATGGCTGTTTCGTCATATTGTGGGACTCCTCAGCAGTGCACATCCACGACCTCGCCCTCTGAGAGATTCGAACACAGGACTTACTGGTTTCGCAAGCGAGCACTTAACCACTAGACCACTCAGATTTTATTCAGTGGTGTTAATGTCAAGGTGTTAATGCTCACTGCTGAAGAGTTCCACAATAGAACGAAACGGCCGTCCAATGCTTCCAGGTTTTCCTTGGTGGTCCAGCTTCAACTGACTAATGATCTTACCCATTGAAATTATTACATTATTCACAAAACTCACCTGATATTAATTATGAATTGTTTTCTGAATGATGAGGAATACTATCAACCAATGTACACAAACAATTATATGGAAAACTTATCTATCAATTGTAACTATGTAAAAAAATTGTAATCTATTAAACTTTTACAATTATTTAGCGACAATTCTACTATGATAGTTGTAGCTAATAGATAAAATAAATCCAATGATATTTCTTTAATTATTTTTATAAAGATGTAAACAACTATGTAGGTAATCATCTAGGGAAATTAGTTATTTTATCTTAGTTTCATAGGAATACACTCATTCTTACTAAAGGAAGACTTCCTTCACATAGAAAAGCCAATTTTTTTAAAACCATCAGTATGATGTTTAAATATGATCAATATGTGTAAAGTTGTAATTGTTAGAATTCAAGAACATCAAGTGGATTGATTTCAACATCCAGAGTACATTGAAAAGGTGATTTATTCAAATTAGTGAATTGATAGTACTCAAGAGCCATAAGATGTATTAAATCATCAAAAGTTTTATATTAAAAGTCCTTTAACAGTCAGTGAATTTTGTATGGTACTTTATTGGTTAAAAAAAAACCTGTTTATCGACTGTTCTTCAACCAATTTCGATTATGGTCAATTTTAGTTAAGCTCTTCTATTAACTTACTTATCAGACAATGTTATTCGAACAGTAACAATTCATATATTTCTTTATACTATTATGATCACTAGATCACATGACAGACTCTAGCTAGAATGTTGATCGCTTGAATATCACTCTATGATTAATCCTTCTCCACATGTATATATGTACTCAGATCCTATTTTTAGCCTTTGTTTTGCCTTGTTGTGATGTGCCCTTATGCGATTTGACTATAAATTTGCCTTTGTGTTGGCTCGCACACACATATTCGTCTCTCTGCTTCAAATTCATTCCATGTGCTTATAGCTTTGTGATCTGTTTTATCCGCTAATAAGCTGTAGTTGCCAATTCTGATTTCAAATACTCTTGAAATTTATATCATAGCGGTTATCGGGTAATTGATTAACAAAGCAAAACCACTACAACTGTATTGTTATTTACAACTATATTTCTCTAAAAATAGATGAACGATGCTAACCACCTTGCTCTCTGAGGTAATTTAGTGAACATAACTTTCTAGATCTGAGGCAGAGCGTCCTATGTTAGATTGAAATTATATTCTGGAAATAGTGACAGAATGCATGCCAATTCTCTGTCATGATCAGGTTGATATAAAAAGCTTTGTTATATGTGAAACAGTAATATATAGTCTTTAATTGTTTGAAATAATGTGTTTATTTTTAGAGGTCATTTGTCACGGAGAATACAACAAACTAAGGCAACATTTAGGAACCAGTAAATTCGAGCACGTCAATAAGGAGATCTTATCGAAGTATGAATAGTTTATTGAGCGGCAATTACAGTGTCATCATAGAGTAATTAAAGTCATCTAGAACTAGAGGAAACCAAACAAATGCAGAGAGCACAGAACAACAACAGATAAATTAGTGTGATAAGTTTGTCGTCTCAGGTTGTTTTATGACCTATTGATTTGTATGGGTAATGTTTATATTGGTCGAGTTAATGAGGGAAAGTGTGAGCGTAAAATATATACAGAAACAAAACTTTGATAATTACGCACAATAATAACAGTGACCAAGCATTTGACGTTCCGATAATTTCACTGTTGGGATAGAAAAAAGTCACAAATGGGAGCTTTCTAAAGGGGTTTCAGATATAAGGTAACCATCAATTACTGAACAAATGGTGATAGTGGCAAACTATTCAGCGGTTTCAAAAATTTCTTTTGTAAATCGATTCATATTGATAGAGTATTTAGAATAAAATATCTTCACTTTCCATATTCGGTTACGAATGCAATAACTTCACGTTTATTTGTATTGAATTGGGTCAGTCAATGAAAAATAGTTTATTGAGCATATTGATGAAACAGATTAGATTTACTTTGAGTTTCAGCTTCCATAATATTATGAAGTATTTGTTAAAAGAATTTGAATTTGTGGTTTGAAGTACAATGACTTAAAAGGAAACAGATCGTAAAGCGCCGTTAAACAGGTTTCAAACTGAGTTTGTCGACAATGATAATACGTCTCAAAATGAATGTGGAGTATTATAGGAGTGGTCGGACAAATACTTTGAACACTAAGATACAGAGGTTATTGATATAGAGGATAACAGTATGAAGCTGAGATTTCGTTAAGAACTTGAATACTTTGTTGAAATTTGTTCTACGAAATACATATTGTAGTGATATCTGAGTCCACTGAATGAAAATTAGATAGGGCCTTACCACTTACAGTGAAGTTAAAATTGATAAGAGGATCATCAACCAAAAGAATCTTTTGAGCTTCATACTGATTCAATCTCGCGCATCGTTTAGTTCATGAAGTTAAAATGAATAAAATACCTTAAGATCATACACGTCTATCTTTATCTAAACTTTTCATACAACTCATTTTTCCGAATATTACATCGTTTTCTTTTTCTACACTAAGTTCTTTGTTCCTGAAATGTCATAAAGAATACTGTAAAACGAATCAATTAAGCGCTTTGTAGTGTCTTTGCTTCCTTAATCAATCACTTTTGTAACTGTTATTATACAAATTTCTCGGTGTTTGAAATCAGAAGGCAATATACAGTTGCAATTACAAGTTATTAGCGGATAGCTATAAGCACATGGAACGAATTTGAAGCAGCCAGGAGAACGTGTGTTTGCGATATGACAGTGATCTTCATAAAACACCGAAAAAGACGAATCGCTGCTGTTCGAATAAAACTGTTTGTTAAATAAGCTTAACAAAACTTAATCATAATCAAAATTAATTGTAGGAGAGTTGCTATGGCTCATAGCTTTCACATTATTTGCTAAGTGACGAGTTTGAAGCAACATTTTATCCACAAAACGAATTTTCGGGAAATAAATCGTATTTATTTTATCGAAATTTTTCAGTAGTTGAAAAGTCAGCTTGTTCCCTGACTAAATTTCCTTAATCTCGACCGTTGTTGCTACCTTGACATGGTGGTCAGTCTTGCCTATCGTGATGAACCAATCGAGCTTTACTAGCTGTAACAATCGTACATCAAGGTTCTACCATGCCAGACAGGAAGGTTGAAGAGGTGTAAGAGGCGAAATGTCGTTCTATTGACTATACAGAGATCTGACGGCAGTAAGGTGTTTCCTTCAGACAACCAGCGTAACAGGATCTCTGCCTTCCCACAAGAAAGAGTGGGTTTAGAAAACGCCGACCCTAAAAATTCACACCTCACCTTATCTCAAGGATTTCTTTC